ATGGTTCCAGGGCCCCCAAGGCCATTCCCCACTGGAAAATGCAGGGGGGTTTGTACCTGGCAGGGCCTTGTGGAGAGGTTTGGGCTCTCCCAGGTGCCCAGAGCAGCTGTGGCTGCCCCTGGATCCCTGGCAGTGCCCAAGGCCAGGCTGGGCACTGGGGCTGGGAGCAGCTGGGACAGTGAAATGTCCCTGGGGGTGGCACTGGATGGACTATAAGGTCTTTCCAGCCCAAATATTCCATGGTTTTGTGACTTCTGTGGATTCCTGGGACTGTGTCTTCCCAGCAGAGGCAGCTGATGGAGCAGAGGTGCTGCAGCCTCTCCCTGGGTGAGGTTTTCACAAGAACTCCTCCCAGCCCATTCTCAGCTCCTCTCCATCTGACAAAAAACAAAATAAAAAAAGGAAGGAAGAGCATGGATGTGTCAGGAGGAGCTGATCTGTGTTCCTGGGCTGCTAAAATCCCGGTGTGGGGAGCTGCTGAGGGCCCCGGGGCTCTTACACAGCCCTGAGGTGTCACTGCCTTGAGGACACCGAGTGAAGGCGAGATTTCTTTGGTTCTGATTTGGGCTCCTTGTGGTTCTCTCCATGCTCTGGAGCTGTATTTCATTGATTCCATGTCCACCCAAATATCTGAGTCCAGTCTGATGAAGGATCTGGCTTTCTTCTCCCTCCCAGTCCCTCCTATTGCAGAGGCCTCCTGCTCGGTCCAGGTTTTGTGGCCTCCAAGGGACAAACCTTGGGCTGCTCCTGGCCCATCCTGGAGTTGTTCAGGTTGGAAAATATCTCCCAAACGATCAAATTCAAGCACTAACCCAGCGCTGCCAGGCTCACCGCTAACCCCTGTCCCCAAGTGCCACATCCAGACGTTTCCTGAGCACTTCCAGGTGACTCCACGCTGCCCTGGCACTGCATTCCAAAGCTTTCAGGGAATCAATCTTCCCTGATATCCAACTTAAACCTCTCCTGGTGCAACCTGGCCTGGCTCCTCCTGTCTCAGCAGAGCTGGGCAGTGCAGAGCTCCAGGTGTGGCCTGACCCCAGATCCAGGAGCAGCAACCATGGGAAAGGTCCCCGGAGGAGGAAACAGCCCCAAATCCGGCGTTTTTCAGGACAGCTGTGGGAGGCTGAGAGTCCTGAGGGCTCTGTGGGGCATCCAGAGTCTGGCTGCATCCCTGGGATTCCCTAAAGACCTTCAGCACCTGCCCAGGTGACACCGGGGTGACCCAGGCTGCTCCAGCCTGGCCTTGGGCACTGCCAGGGATCCAGGGGCAGCCACAGCTGCTCTGGGAATTCCAGCCCAGCCCCTCCCCACCCTGCCAGGGAACAATTCCCAATTCCCAATCTCCCATCCAGCCCTGCCCTCTGGCACTGGGAGCCATTCCCTGTGTCCTGTCCCTCCAGGCTAACGGAATCTGTGATATTTAAATGATCCCAAGACTGTAGAAAGTCTCTGTCTGTCAGCCCCGCTGCCAAAGCAGAAGCCATAATTGGTCTGTGCTGTTTCAAGGTTGTTTATTCTGTTTATCTCTAACATGTTCTGCTGCCCTGCCGCAGCTCTGTCCTGCAGGGCAGCGTGTGGGGCTCTGCCCTCAGTGGGATGGTACAAACATTAAATACCAGAAACTACCTGTGCTGGATTTACAATAACGTGCCAATATCTGTCACCTACGTTGGACAGTGTGTCCCCAGCCTGAACCAACAGAAAAATGCCAACACCACAGTGAAACATGGAGGGCATGAAGAAGGAGAAAAAGGACAAGGCACACCCAATTTCCTCCATCTTGTCCCCTTTGGACCCCCAATCTAGAAACCTAAAATTTTACTTTTGCACCTGTGCCACACCTAATTATTACCTATATCAAACACTCAGAGCTGGTAATTCATCCTGTAAGATGGAAAACTCTTTTCTATGGACAGAGATCACAGCCAGTGTCTCTGGGGGCTCTGTCCAGGGGGGTTCCTGACCCCTGCCAGGGTCCCAGCCCTGCCAGGGCAGCCAGAGGGAAGCCCTGGATTCCCACACCAGGCCTTGTCCCCAGCCCCTCTCCAGCTCTCCTGGAGCCCCACTTTGAACACCAAAAATCACAAGAACTACCCGAGCACAAAGCAATAAATATCAAACCTCCCCAGACTCCAAACACAGAAATAATCCAAACCAACCAACCAGAGCGGGAGGAGCAGCAGGAGAGCGAAATGAAACAAATAAAACCTCTTTATCCCGGGCTCGGATTCTCCTTTCTGGCCGGAAGGAGAGCAGCTGAAATTGGGTGTGAAACGGGGCTGTTGAGGAAATAACGCGCTTGTAGGAAATGTGTTATGGGGAATTTCCTTTCGTTTAGCACCAAGAGCGTTTTGGGGGGGCAGTTTCGGGGCTCTTGGCTCTGGGGATGGTTGGAGACGAGCCAGGCTGGTGTTTTGATAGATTTATTCATTCTCCTGCAAAGCAACATTGCGGAGCAAAGGGACAGCCCTGGGGGTGTTCACCCCAAAAAGCACATCGGTAACTTCCTCATTTGCTGATATTCTTTCCATCACTGAGAATTCACACCAGCTTTTTTTGACTTAACCCTGACTTTTTGGAGCTGGAGTCAGATGGGAACAGACCCAGTGGGATGGGGGTGATGATTTTTTTCTCTTTTCAGACACTTTTGGTGTAGCAGTAAAGGGGAGCTGGGATGTGCCAGCTCTGGGGTGCAGCTGCTTTCACCAGGGAATATTTGAGCAGGTAGACCCCAGAGAGCAGCAGGCACTTAGCAAACACCACCTGAGGGGCTGAGCAAAACAATCCTGCCCGGAGCTCTCGATTTCCCCACGTCCAGCAGGACTTTACTGACCACAGACAGCAGAACAGAAGCGTTGTGCTGAGTAAGCAGATGTCATTTAAATGTAAACACAGCCTGGGCTGCAGGGCCCTGCTTCTGCTTTCTCCTAAAAAAACCCAGGCTGCCTCTTCCCAGCTGCCTGGAGCACCCAGGGGTGTCTGGCTCTGTCCTCAGAGCTCAGCTGGGGATGCCCAGAGCTGAGATCCTCAGTGGGAATTGCCAGGGAATCCTTTCATCTCCCCTTTTTATCCCAAGGGTTTTGGCTTCCCCTGTGTATGGGAGTGATCACAGAACCCTGAAATGGTTTGGGAGGGAACTTAAATCCCACCCATCCCACCCCTGCCCTGGCAGGGACCCCTCCCACTGTCCCAGGAGCTCCAGCCCCAGTGTCCAGCCTGGCCTTGGGCACTGCCAGGGATCCAGGGGCAGCCACAGCTGCTCTGGCAATTCCAGCCCAGCCCCTGCCCACCCTGCCAGGGAACAATTCCCAATTCCCAATCTCCCATCCAGCCCTGCCAATGGCACTGGGAGCCATTCCCTGTGTCCTGTCCCTCCATCCTTGTCCCCAGTCCCTCTCCTGGAGCCCCACTTTGAACACCAAAAATCCAAGGAAAAAAGCAATAACTACCCAAGCATAAAGCAATAAATATCAAAAACCCCTCCAAACTCCAAACACAGAAACAATCCAAACCAACCAACAACAACAACAAAAAAATTCAAATGAAAGCCCGGGATGTGTTGTAGGGATCCATCAGCCGGTGGTGGGCAGCTCCGTGGATGGGGCTGAGGAACTCGGAGTTCCCTGCGCTGGAAACCCTGGCGGGACCGGCTTGTCCCGGCTGTCCCTGTTTTTCCCACTGTCTCTGGCTGTCCTCGTTGTCCCGGCTGTCCCCGCTGTCCCCATTGTCCCCGCTGTCCCCATTGTCCCCGCTGTCCCCGCTGTCCCTCCCGCAGCCGCGGGGATGCTCCGGGAGAGGTTCCCGGTGCCCCCGGGCGGGGCTGCCCCGCCGCATCCCTCGGGAAGGGCTCCGGCGGCCGGGAGGGGAGCGGGGGCAGCGGAGGGGCTCCCTCGCCATGTGCCGCTGGGGCAGATGGGCAGGGACGAGGAGGAGGAGGAGGAGGATGTGGGGGAGGAAGGCGGCGGGAGAGCCGCGCTCAGCGCCGGGCCCGCAGCGCTGCCTCGGCCGCCGGGATCCCCCGGCTCCCCCGGCCCCTGCCGGCAAGGAGGGGGTGGGAATCAGGAATCGAATCACGGCTCGGGCGATGGGAAAGGCTGTGGAGAGCGGGAGGGCAGCTCGGAGCCGCTCCCGTGGCCGGCCGAAGCATCCCTGAGGATGGAGGAGTCCCGGGGCTCGAGGATCCCAGAGCTGCAGGGTCCCCATGGCCGGAGGATCCCCAGAACTGGATAATCCCTGTGTCCAAAGGATCCCGGGCCCGGAGGATCCCTGTGTTCAGAGGATCCCTGTGTCCGGAGGATCTCTGTGTCCGGAGGATCCCGTGCAAAGAGGATCCCGTGCCCAGAGGATCCCTGTGTTCAGAGGATCCTGTGCCCGGAGGATCCCGTTCCCAGAGGATCCCGTGCCCGGAGGATCCCTGTGCCCGGAGGATCCCGTTCCCATAGGATCCCGTTCCCATAGGATCCCGTTCCCAGAGGATCCCGTTCCCAGAGGATCCCGTTCCCAGAGGATCCCTGTGCCCGGAGGATCCCGTGCCCGGAGGATCCCGTGCCCGGAGGATCCCTGTGCCCGGAGGATCCCTGTGCCCAGAGGATCCGTGCCCGGAGGATCCCGTGCCCGGAGGATCCCATGCCCGGAGGATCCCCATTCTCAGAGGATCCCTGTGCCCAGAGGATCCCTATGCCCAGAGGATCCCGTGCCCGGAGGATCCCTGTGCCCGGAGGATCCCTGTGCCCAGAGGATCCCCATGCCCAGAGGATCCCGTTCCCAGAGGATCCCATGTCCAGAGGATCCCGTTCCCACAGGATCCCGTTCCCAGAGGATCCCGTTCCCACTGGATCCCGTTCCCAGAGGATCCCGCGGCCGCGCGCGGAGCCGCAGCCGCCGCTTGACAACAGGAAACAATGTGGAGTGAATGGAAAAAGGGGGAGGCGCTGCCCGAGCGACTTCCCTTGACATCACTGCCCAAATAAGGAGCTTTAAACCAACCTTTTCTATTGCAGCGCGGCAGAAGATCCCCCTGGAGCCGCGGGGTCCAGCCTGGCGCCGGCAGAGCCATGGGAGAGCCGCGGCTGCCGCGCGGGGGGCGAGTGCAGGTAACGCCGGGCGCGTCTCCCCGCGCGTGTCCGTGTCCGTGTCCGTGTGCGCGCCCGCGGAGCGCCGCTGTGCCGCTCTTCCCTGCCCTGTGCCGGCAGGGCACGGCAGGGCACGGCAGGGCACGGCAGGGCTGCGCCGTCCCCCGTGCCACAAGGGCACCCGCCGCTGAGGTCACCGCACTGGGGAGCAGCAGCTGCGTGTCGGTGATTTTCATTTTTTGTCCCTCCCGGGCGCAGCGCGTGGTTGGGCACCCCGAGGAGGTTGTGGCTCTTGAGCGGCCGCCAGCACCTCCGGGGGCTGCGCTGGCACCGCCACAAAGCTCGGGCGCTTAATTGGCGGCCGGCCCTAATGAGCAGCCGGGCGCTGGGGCTGGGCTGAGCGCCGGGCTGAGCTGTCTGCCTGTCTGGGACGGATTTCCTCCTTATCACTCGCACAGGAAAGCGAGCGGGGAGCCGAGGGGTTGTTCTGGGGCCACACGTGATGCGACAGGAGCTGTGCCAGCGAAACCCCTGCAGCAGCTCCTGCCAAGCAGGATGTTGGATGTCCCCAAGCCGCGGCTGGACCTGCTGTCCCCGAGCTTGACCCGCGGGGAGTTTTATCCCTTTTAAGCGTTCCTTGATTAGCACCTGCTCATCAGCAGAAAACGAGGCAGCTTTAAAAATGCATTAAGGCTGACTAAATGAGTGCTAACGAGTTAAGCTCCTTAATTCTCCTCGATGGAAATTAATAACGCCTTTGATGCGCCCGGAGGTGCGATCGGTGCCTCCCGGGCTGAGCTGCTCTATGCAAATGCGGGCATTGTTATTCCGGAAAAAGGCGTTGTGCGTGGTTTGCTTTTTCCCCTTCTCGTTCCTGAGCTCGCCGGCCGTGCCGAGAGGGTCTGGCACTTCTCGCCGGTGCCAGGCTGGCGTGTGGAAGCGGCCGGGGCAGCTGACACGCTGATTTATGGTGTGAGCAATACAATCCGAGCCCTGCTCCGCTGCCCGGGGATCACCTGCAGCTCCCGGGCTTTGAGTTTCCCCGGCGCTGAAGGATTGTTCTGGCAGGGCACGGAGCCAGGTTTTACCTGGGCTGGCTGGCCCCTCTGTCCCGACTCCCACCTCTCCCGATTTATTTGGCGTCACTGACCCTCCAGGAAGGTGTTTGTGCTTGTGGGGACTCGTGTTTTTCTCGCAGTCCCGGTGCTTCGCGAACTTGTCCTGTGGATTCTTGTGGGAAAACGTCCCCGGCGGCAGCAGAGCGCGTTTCCTCACTCAGAGCAGCTGGGCTCGGTGGGATGCTGCGATTCTCACTCGGCTCACGGGTGTCAGAAGGCTCCAAAATGTCACATTGTCCTCACCCCCTTCTGCCGTGCCCTTCTTAGCTGCAGGGCTGCTGGAAATAGGATTTCTTTCATCGCTCCAGGGGAGGGTGCAGAGACCTGGGGCGGGACAGGGGGGTTGAGCTGCGCTGTTCTGACCTGTTCCCAGGATTTCTGCCCCCAGCCTTTGCCCTGCGGCTGGTGGAGGTTTCTCTGCAGAAGCTCAAAATCTGTAGAGGGCCTGTGTGAACTGTGCATCAGAGAAAAAAAAAAACAACTTGCAGGAGTTACTGGGTGATTAATTAATGAGCGTGTTGGCAGCAAACTGCTGCAGCAGGGCTGGGGCTGTGACCTCTGGGGCACAAGTGTGGTGCAGCCCCCCAGAAATCCTCCGAGGAGCCTGGGGCAGTTCCTGCAGCCCGAAGGAAGGGGATTCACTCCCCTGAGTGACCATTTTCATCCTCATCCACCGCGGGCACTTCTCCCTTCCCTGTGCTCTGCTCTTCCCTTCTCCTCCATTCCAGGAGCGTGGTGCCGCTCCTTGGCCGCGCTTTGAGCAGGGGAACGAGGTTCTCAGAGGGTTTCTGTGCCCCTGCGCTGCCCGGAGGCTGCCCCAGGTGCGGGAGAGGCGAGCAGAGCAGAGCCAGGAGCGCAGGTTCGGTCTGGCTCTGCTGGCCGGGCAGGGGCGCGTTCCCAGCCGGGCTGGGCTGGGGGACAGCGAAATCCCAAATGTTTGGAGTTCTCTCTTGGAAAACACGGGTCAGGAGAATGGCTCAGTGTTCGGGGCAGCGTGATCGGATGTGGGGAACCACTCCGGGGAGCCGCGGGTGAGTCCCGGCAGCGGCGCTCCCGAAAATAACATTTATCCTGAAGAGAACAAGAGAAGCGCTGTTGAGAACCCTCCCCCGGGCCGCGGGGCCGGGGCAGCGCTGCCTTGGGAGCTTTCCCGGGAATCGGGGCAGCAGGGAAGCGTGTCCCGGAGGGAAATCACCGCGGCCATCCGGGCATTGGGTGGCAGCCCGGTACCGGGGGGCTCCCGGGAACTCCCCGCGCGTCACTGGCACGGCCCCAGCGCCGTGTCCGGCCGCTCCTGCCTCAGCAAAGTTGATTTTCCTCCGCCCTCCCGCGGCCCCCCCGCTCGCCGGGGCTCCCGCTGCCTCCAGCTCTGCTGTCAGAACTTCTGCCGCACGTGTTGAACACCGAGAGCGCCTCAGCAGCCTCCGGAGCGCCTCAAAGCCTCGCGTTTCTTGGCAAGGGGAGGGTCAAACAGAGGGGAAAAAAAAGGAAAATTACCCTCTGGGAAGGAGAGCGATTTATTTCAAATATACATTCAGCACCATTCATTGTCCGCGCCTTTAGAAAGGCTGCTTGTTAGGGGATTTTATGGCTCTGCTGGGATCTGCGGGGCTGCTTGGGATGCAGGGAAATGTTTATTCTGTTTTCCACCCTGCCTGTTCCATTTGCGGAGCTCTCCCTTCCCACCTCTGGCTCGTTAATCCGGGGCCGTTCCTCGCGGAGCTGAGACCACCTTGCAAGAGGACGGAGGTTATTTGTGCTCCCGCTGTGCCCTGGCTGGAATTCCAGAAATTGGGCTTTCCCAGGGCACTCAGCTGCGATCCTGCTCCCTGCAGTCGGGGCAGGAATGACAAATAAAGGAGATTTTCATCCTGCCCGGCTCTAATTACGAGCCTGCAGAAGGTGAAGCTCCTAACGAGCATCAAAGGGCGCTTTGTGTGTCAGTGCCGAGGGGGCTGGGGGGGTTCAGGCACTCAGAAAACATTTGGGGAGAGAGGATGTGGCCATAAATCATCTTCGGTCCCCACGCCGCCTCATTTTCTCTGCCAAGCCCCGAGCCAAGCCCAGCCTCTCCTCCCTGGGAAGGCCGGGCTGTCAGAAGCCCCTGCAGTGCTGGTTTTTTTTTTCATTTCTCACTTTTTGGAGCTTTGGGAGGAGGTGAGCAGGGCCCGCAGGTGCAGCAGGTGAGGGATGAGCCCCGCAGAGCCGGGGATGGGCACAGCCATCCCTGCCTGTTTACAGTGGAAACCTGAGCACCTCTTCCCGCAGAGCAACAGGAACCAACCCCTTCAAGACCTCGCTGGTATTTTTGTAACCATTTTTTTTTTCTAATTGTTGTTGTTTGTTTCCAGCTGGACGGAAAAATTGCAGTTTGGGGACGCTTTCCTTCCTTCTGGGAAGTGCTTGGCAACTTCTGAGCTGGGATACGTGAGGGGAAAACATGAGATCAGGTTTTCCTACCTTCCCAAAATGGACTTGCCGTACGCCAGGGCTGCTTGCTGCTCACTGCCTTGAAGCCAGGCTCCATCCCAGGTGCTTTTTAGGACTGTTTTGGGCCCAAAATCAGAGGAGAGCATCTTCAGCATTGGGGGGAACCTCATTAAACCCTTCCTTGTGCTAATGAAGTTGTCAACTTCAGCAGCTCCTCAGTCTCCAGATCCTAAATTGTCTTTCAGCCCATCCATCATTCCTTTCCTGGACTTTGGAGGGTCACCTGCTTGTTAAAGTGTTATCAGCCTTTGGGGTTTCAGTTACTTTGCTCTGATTCTCCAGTAATCCTGCAGATTTTAGGCAGATTTCTGCCAGAAAACAGCAGGATCCAGCTGAGTTCAGAGCGGGGATTTGGGGCTCTCCCACATTCGATGCACCCAGACATTCAGGGCCTTGCTGAGCCCTCACTTGGTGCTGCAGTTCAGAGGGCAAACCCCAGGAGAATCCCATAAAATTGAGCCTGGCCCTTTTCCCAGCAAGCTTGGCCTGAAGGAATTTCAGTGATTCCCTCAAATCCTTCCAGGGCTGAACCCCAACTTTGCCTCGCTCAGTTGAGGGCTCTGAAGGGTCTGAACGTTTTCTCCCCACAGGCTCAGAGCCGCACAGGCAGCAGCTCTGGGACTGTTCATGGTCACTTTTTAGGGGAATTGGGAAGAGATTCCCGCCTGAGGGGTTGCAGCACCGGCCTCCTTCACCCCCAGCTCTGGGATCCACCTGCTGCAGGTGATGCAGCAGTTCCCATTTAGGCTGGGAGGGATTGGAAATTGGGAAACTCTGAGGGGTTTTAGGAGCTTTCAAGGGGTTCAGGAAGAACCCCCTGAGCCCTGGATCTGTGCCTGGCTCCTCCTGCCTCAAGCAATGGGAGATTCCCAGGGAAAAGGGTGGGATAGGAGGGATCTCCCCATTCCCTGCTGGAGCCCAGGGGATGCAGAGTGAGCCCGGGACAGAGCTGAGGGTTTGGCACTGGCAGGGATGTGCCTCCGAGCTTTCCATGAGGCATTGCTGACTCCTCAAATGCCTGCCCACGGGTTTCCTGTGTTCCCTTTAGTCAGGGGTTTGGGGTTTGTTCCCTTTCTGGGGACAAACAGAATAAATTTTTATCTGTTATTTACAAATATTTGTATATTTATGGAATAAATTTATATTTTTATAAACTATATAAATATTTGTATATTTACGGAATAAATTCATATCTATATAAAATATATAAATATTTGTATATTTACAGAATAAATTCATATATATTATATATAAATATTTGCATATTTACTGAAAAAATTCATATATATTATATAGAAATATTTGTATATTTACTGAATAAATTTAAAGTGATAGTGTTCCAAATTAAAGCTACGGGGAAAAGATGGGCCTGAAATGAGTTGAATAGAAATGAAAAACAAGACATATTCCTAA